AATTAGCATTGATTTGACTTTCCGGCAATTGTATTTTTTCTCCTGGTTTAAATGCTGGCATTCCCAAATATGGACAAGTCGAACATCTGAAGGCATCTCCTAGATAACACTGAAAAAAAAAAAAAAAAAAAAAAGTATTATTTAAAATACATAAATGTAATGTGAAATTACTTATAATATGGTAAGTGTTGACCTTAAACTTAACAAAAGATTGACAATAATTTAATTATTTGTTTTATGTACTTGAAAGATTTACAAAAAATAAATGAAATTAAAAAAAATTTTTAATAGACCTTGACTTAAAAAATTTACTTATTTATTACAATAATAATATATATGTTAGTCGAAATCGGGTCGAAATAAGATTTTTCTAACTGATAAACATTTTCAATAACAAAATAATAAAATAATAAATTTTTAACAATAACTTATTAATAATGTTTTTGTTTTAAAAATATAAATTGGAGATTTTGACAATGAAAAACTTACATTTCCACATGAAGAAGTTTTTACAGGAGCTTCTTCGCCAGCCAATTCTTCTGCTAAACCACAAGAACAATTTTTACAAGCTTTTCTTTTACCAGTTGTACCACAAACTCTTAACGATGCAGGATCTGGTTTTATTAAATCTTCCTCACTCAACAAATTGTCTTCATCAATTAAATCCTCATCTAGTGTGTCACTCAATTTCCAAACTGTCGAAACTTTATCAACATTACCAGCATCACCAGCATCTTTTGTACCAGCAGAAGGCATAGTTCCTTTCAAATTAATAGCACAGGATGATCCCACTTCGAAATTAGGCTTTTCAGCAATCATTTCAATCAAACACATATCGGACATGTTTAATAATGTTTTTAGTTTTTCTTTTTCATTATTATCCAAATTTATTTCTTTAACATCAGATACATTTGTGAATCCATTTAGAATGAGGTTAGATTTTAATGTGGCGTAATCGTCTAATTTTGGCAGAGATTGATGAATAAATAATTTACCCTTTGGCTTAAGTAATTTCATCAATTGACTTAAAAAATTAAAATCGTGAAAAACCGTTTGAGGAAAAATAACGCCGGAAAAAATAACGTCGAATGATGATTGTGGATATTGAGCGCCATTTAACATATTAACATTTTCTAATTTAACCAAACCATTTTCACCAACTTTTAAATTATCAATAAAATTTTGAAAATTTTCTTTATCCGTTTGATCTTTCCATAAAATCAATACCTTACTTCCTTCCTTAACGGAATACATTTTTTTTTAAAAAAGAAAAACAATTTAATAAGCTTACAATTATTAAATTTAGAAACTGAATCAATTCTAAACTTTATACATAAAGTTGTGAAATTCTATCAGTGTTGCCAATATAACGAAGCCAAAAATTATTGCGGTTACTTTTCTTTTGAATAATCATGAATTATAATAATAAAAAAAACTTCTAATATTTATTTAGGTACCAAAATTCTTAAATAATCCGTTAAAAATGAATAAATTATTCAAATTGGAGTAATTTCAAAAACAAATAATAATAATAATATCTATAAAATTTTTAAAAATTCAAATCTTCAGTTATAATAAGAAACTAACAACCAAGGGGATTTTCCTTCTTTAAATTTAACTTAATTTAAAAATTATTTTTTTAAAATAATAAATAATTCATTAAATCATATCAATAATAAATTTAAATTGCACTTGACTCAATATGAATAGATAAAAATCAGATAAAAAAATTTTAATTTAAAAAAAAAAAGTTGAATTGATTTGAATTGTCAAGTATATATTTGCACTTATACAAATCAAATGGGAAAATTATCAATTTAATTAAAGATAAGGTTTTCCCAAAATTTTCATACGTAATTTATTAATTTAATAAAAAAAATAATAATTATAATTAATGGTCGAACATATTTAAATTAATGATTTAAAACTGAAATCAAAAAAAAAAAAAAAAAAAAAACGTTACGGTAAAAGTTAAAAAACTGTGTCAATCAAAATGGAGTAAATTATGTTAATTAGAGAGAGCTCGATGAGTTTGTTAAAAAAAAAAAAAATCGAATAAATAAATAATAATAATAATTTATAATCGTTAAATAGTTCAAAATTATTTTAAAATAAATCGATTCAAAAAAATCTTTTTTTTTTGAAATTCCCAAATTGAAATAACGACCTTAGTAATTTATTATTATTATTATTATAATAATAAGAGTTTTTTTTTTTTAACGAATAAATCTTTCGATCGATATCAGTAAAGTGATAAGGATATAGTAAAAAAGGTATGAGTTGATGTGTTTGAGTCCATTTTGCAAATTTTTTACAATGAAGACGGTACTGACGATTTTAGGATATTTTTTTGTTTTTTTCGGATTACTCAAAGTTAAGTTTTTTAATTTAAATTCATAGAAAACTTTTTTAAAAACGTTGTAATTTATTTAAATTTTTTTTTTTTTTAAACTACAGCCGGTCCTGTAAATAATTCAAAAGGTTATGGACCCGGTGAACAATCATGGGGATTTGTAGACGTTCGGGAAGGAGCTCACATGTTTTATTGGCTTTTCTACGTTCAAAATCCTAACGTTCAATCTTATTATGAAAAACCTCTTGTTATTTGGTTACAAGGTGGTCCCGGTGCATCTTCAACAGGTTTTGGTAATTTTGAAGAAATAGGACCTTTATTTCTTAATGGAACGGAACGTCCTTCATCTTGGGTAAGTTAAAAATTATTGAACAACACGAAAAAATATATAAAATATAACGCAAAAAGTATAATAAATATTTTTTTTAAAGGTAAAATATGTAAATTTGCTTTTTATCGATAATCCAGTCGGTGCTGGATTTAGTTACGTCGACGATTACAGTCGTCTTACAACAACCAACGAACAAATCGGTAGCGATATGGTAAATTTCTTAAGTGAATTTTATAAAAAACATCCAGGTTTTGAAAAAAGTCCAATGTACATCTTCTGCGAATCCTACGGTGGTAAAATGGTTGTCGAAATAGCTAAACAATTACAAAAAGCCATCGATGACAAAAAATTAAACGCTTCTTTCAAGGGAGTCGGATTGGGAGATTCTTGGATTTCTCCTGTCGATTCTGTAAATACTTGGGCACCTTTTCTTTACAGTACCGTAAGTATTTCCTCACTTCTGCCCCTACTTTTTTTTTAATTATAAAAATTTATTTAATCTTCTATTTTACAGGGTATGATTGACCAAGAACAATTAAAACGTTTGAATGCAGGTGCTGAGAAAGTGCAAAGTGCCGTCGACAATGGAAATTTTCTAAAAGCCACAGATTTGTGGAGAGATTTGGAAATGGATATTTTTTCTGAAACAAATAATATAGATTTTTATAATATATTATACAAAGTTAAACCGAACAGTATGAGTAAAAGTAACGGATGTAAGTGTTTAAGTATAAATAATTAAAATTTTAAAAAAAATAAATAAATTTTAATATATACTTTTTTTTTGGTTATAGTGAACAGAGTGTTCGATGACGAAAAACTTGATAGACTAATGAACGGACCAGTTAAAAAAGCATTAAACGTTCCACCTAAAGTTGTGTACAGCAAACAAAGTGGTGCAGTTTTCAAATATTTGTCAGAAGACTTTATGAAACCGGTTATTCACGTCGGTAAGTAAATTAAACACGAAACAATGTTTAACACAAATAGAAAAATGTCTAAAAATTTTTTAATATTAATTACAGTTGAAGAATTATTAAACAATACTAAATTAGAAGTAGTTGTATTTACCGGAAACTTGGATCTTATAGTCGACACACCGGGAACGGTTGAATGGGTTGATAAAATGAACTGGGTAGGAGCTAAAAAATGGAAAACGGCACCTAGAAAATCATTGGTTGTTAATAAATATGTTGAAGGATACGTAAAAAATGTCGGAAATTTGTACCTGTATTGGGTTCACAGATCCGGTCACATGGTAATAATTAAAATTAAAACGATATCCATACAAATATTCAATTGAATTTGTAAATATAATAATTTTTAATATTAATTTTAGGTTCCGACCGATAATCCGGAAACTGCTTTGGAAATCCTTCGTAGAACAACCAAATTTGATCGAAAGCTAAATGATGATTTATCTGAAAATTTTGTTTAAATTAATTTTACTAATATGGATATTTTTTAAAAGCAGAATAAATTTAATAAAAACTTTACAACAACAACAACAACAAAAAAAACATTGTTAAAAAATTTAATTTTAACTAATAATTAAGAAGAATGATTTAATTTAATTTAAATTAATTAATTATTTGATATTAATATTTTTAAAAGGTGATAAAAGCTAAAAATATTAAAAATTTGTAAATTTGTAAATTTGTAAAAAAAAATTTTTTTTAATTCTACGAATATTTGTAATAAAAAATTTTATAATGGCTCACGCTATAAAAGTTTTTTTTTTTTTTTTTTATTAGAAATTATTTCGATTCCTTTCAATCATCGGTTGATTTATTTTTTGTTAAAGATTTTGCATGTTCTAAATCTTGTTGTAATTTTATATCGTTCGGCATGAGTCCAACGGCAGCTTGAAAATCAGCAACACCAGGTTCCGGCAAACCTAACCGGCAAAGTATGGCTCCTCTTCGAGCGTGACATTTAGCTCTTGCTTCTAAATTTGCAGGAACGTGAGGAGTCATTAAATCCAAAGCCTCGAAAAAAAAAAAAAAAAAAGGGAAAAAACAATATTTTACAAACTGTTTCGTGATAACGTGACGGCAGAATTTAAATACTCATACCTGTGAACAATCATCTAAAGCTTTGTGTAAATTACCCAAACCTAAATGAGCGGCACCCCGGTTAGCATACAAACTAGACATTTTCGATCCTAATTTTATGGCGTGAGAATAAGCGCTAACTGCTCCCAAATAATTTCCAACTTTGTAAAAAGAGCTTAAAGTAAATCACGGAGCGTTAATTAATTTATAATTAAATATTTTACAAGGATGTAAACACCACACACTTACTCTCCCTTATCTTTTAACCAAGTCGGATTACATTCCTCAGGTCTAAGATCTTCGGCAACGAACCCAGTTGCTCGTCTCGCTTCAACTTGTTTTTTTAACCATTCCTCTTCTTGTGGTGCCTGAGATTCTCTGCTAGGTGTTGGAAAATCTCTATGAGTAAAGTTAATCGTTATTGTACCAGGATTTCTCGGTAGGGGCATTGGGAAAACATCAATCGATTTAGATTTCAAATTTGTACTTTTCATTTCATTCTTTATAGGTTCGACAACTTTTTTTTGGATTGAATCATCTTCAACATCAATTTCAACTCCTGCATCTGTTTCATTAAAAATTACTTTGTCTAAATCTAATGGTCCTTTGCAAGGTTTGTTTATTTCTTCTATTTTATTATTTATTACCCAATCATCTAATTCATTCATTGCTTTTGCTCTTGCTGCATTTCTTTTGTCATCTATCACTTGTCTCATTTTAGAATCTTGATCTATTTGCTGTTGTACAGATAATCTTTGCAGAGCAGACAGTTTTTCTTTTTTTAATTTTCTATCTTCTTCTGTTTTTACATGACTTTTTTCAATTATTTCTTTTCTTTTTTGTAACATTTCAAGTTTGCTTATGTCAGCAGTTAAATTTTCCCACATTTTGGGTATTATTTTATACAGTTCAAATATTATTTCATTGTCCGATATTGTACATTTACTGGTTTTTTCATTAATGTTAGAAAATAAAAAAACTTCAAAAAGAAAAGGAGAATAGCTTGCCTAAAAATTTTTAGATAATTACTTACATTCTAAAATAATTTTGTTAAATTTTGTACATTTTTTTTTATGTTTTAGAGTTTATAATAAGTGTAATATAATAAGTGTCTTAGTGTTTATAATAATGTATAACATATATGTCTATATGTATATTAGTTTAAAATTAATGATAAGAGTTTAAGTTTATAATTTTAACCGCGAATAAGATTTTACATTTTCAATAGTAAACAAATTTTGAAATCGAATTATGTCACATAATAAAAATTTTAAAAAAATTCACTTGAAAGGTACCAGTATTTATAAGATAATACTTACTTTAACATAATTATCTGAGGTAAAAATATCTACGGAAGAAGAGGAGACTCCTTTAAGAGGAACTCTTATAGTTAATAACTCCTCAGTTTGTTTCCAAACAAAATCCTTTACAATTAGAGGCATCGTGCATAAAAAATAATAATCGTATCGCGAGAAAACTATGATTTATATGTCCATTTTCAAATACTTTGGTTGTTATAGATACGCAGTTTTGCCAACGTCGAAAAATTTCGATTATTTTCTCTGTGAAGTTCACCGCCCTGAACAAATGCCTGTGCTGCAAGACCGAGTTGAAGTAAACAAATAATCATGGCGTAATAAGGACATTTGACGTTCAAAAAAGTGAAAGTTGGTATATTTTGTGAATTTTTTAATTTTTAAATATATCTTTGATTGTTTATTAAAAACTCAGTAAATGTTTTTATTAAATTGTTCGGTTTTCGTTTGATTTATATACCGTATTAATATATTCATTCAAATGTTATTTTCGAACTTGCAAGTGTGACCCACATCTGCAGTGCAGGATTTCAAGTTCATATAAAAATTAAGTAAGTTTTTTTCAATAAGTTAATAATTTTTCACAGTTTTAAGAAACACACCGTTCTCATAAACGTAAATTATTATTTTTTCACCAAACTAACAGAACAAAACCAGCAATGTTAGAAAAAAATTTGTTTGTCTCCTGTCAAATGTACTTGAGTTTTTTTTTTTTTTTAAACACAAATTAAAATATTACTATTTAAATTAAATTTTTTAAATAAGTTTTTTTGGCAATATGTTTATAAAAAACATAAATATTTCCTGTATTGATAACCTTATAAAAACATACACATATTTTTAATTGAAAACAAACATTTGAAGGAAGTTAATGTTATGTTTTTTTGATTTTATGATTGTTTAAAGTAGAAATACTTAAAATTATTAAAAAACTCAAAAGTCTAAAATAATAAAATGCAGTAAATCATTTAAAATATGAATTATTGATGTGACAAAAAAAAAAAATAAAACAATTTATAAAGGGAAACATTTGTTTAGTAAAGTCAGTTTTGATTTTTTTTTTTTTTTTAATGCATAATTTTGTATATTTATGCAGTGGGTTAGAATTTTTTTTTTTTTTTTTCTCTCTTTATTTATTTATTTCAAAATTTTTGTTTTCAAATTTATTTTTATCATATTTCAAGGCTGACATATGAAAACATGCTATTGATAAATTATGTGTTGCTATATTGAATTGAAGGTTAAAAACCTGGTAAGTTTCACAATTAAAAATTTATTTGTAATTGTAACCATTTTTAGTTTAAAGTCATTAATTAAAAATATCTTTAATATTTATTAGGTGATAAGAAATTTCATTTATGCAACACAACAATTATTATTATTATTATTTTCTATCCATTAAAAGTAGTTATCGAAAAACCAATTCAAGTGTGAATGTTAATAATGAATTATGTTTGTTATTTTTTTTTTAAACTATTATTATTACCTTTTTTTTATACTCATTTTTCAAAACAATATAGTGACAAGTTTCTAAAAAAAAAAAAAAACTTTTAATTATTTACAAACAAAATAATAAATTTAAATTGCAAAAACTTATTTTTATCAATGGCATATGATGCAAAAATCAATTTTAAAAAAATTATTTATAATGTGTGTAAAAAAAAAAAAATAATTTTCCTCACACCAATTATTAATTTGTGTTCAAAACAAAAAGAAAGAAAAACATGGAAAAACATAATAATAATGTTTATTAAATTAAAATAATAAAAAAATTAATTTTTTAATTTTATTATTTTTTTCGAAAAAAGATTAAACATCAGAAAACATTAATTTTTTTTTTTTTTTTTCATTTATTAAAATGACTCACTTAATTAAAATTTAGGTCAAATAATTATAAATATTGGGAAGATTTTTATTTATTAAACAACAGAAAAAAAGAGAGAGAGAGAGAGAGAGAGAGAGAAAGAGAGAAAGAGAAAAAGGAAAAAAAAAATTTCATCTTAATTAAATATTATCAAGGGTCACTTAGATACATGACTTAAATATATATTGCTCTGTTTATTATTTATTTAAACAGAAGGAGGATCCCTTGTTTGTGTCGTAGAATTTTCCAGAATTAATTATTAATTTAATTTATCAAATAGTTATAATGCATGTACGTAATTATTTAACAAAAGAATTAGTTCTTCCAAAAACAAAGACGCCATGTCGAAATTTGTTAAAATTAACATAAAAAAATAATAATAATAATAATTCTGCTGCGTGTTTTTTTTTTTTTTCGAGGGGGCTTCCAAACATTTTTTTATAAATCTTTTTATACTTCGGTTTATTATATATTGATAATAAAAAAAATTTTAACGGAATTATCATTTATAATTAATTCGAAAAATTTTTAGTTTTAATTAACTTTTATTTTTTTTATTTATCCATAACTAATTTATAAATATTATGATTTGTTAATATAGATTTGTAATAATTACGTACGTACGTTTGACGTGAGAGACGTTGATAGTAATAATAATAATAATATTACGCATGCGTTTTATGTTAATTATTTACCGAATAAACTGGTTCCAAAATGTTTTTTTTTTTTTTTTTTTTTTTCTTCTATGAAGACAAAATATACAGGCAGGCAAGCAAGCAAGGAAGGCAGGCGGCACAAGGCCGCCACCTTGTTGTCCCTTTTCGTCAGTTTCTATGTTTTATTGTCGATTTTTTTTTTTTTTTTTTGTTTTAAACTTGAACTTATTATTCGTATAAGTTATATATATATATATAAATTTCATGGATTTGTGTTTTACCTTTTTACCATCTCTCTCTCTCTCTCTCTCCTCTCTTCAATGTCTCTATCAAAGAATTTGCACGAATGATTTTTTTTTTTTAACACGAGAAACCTTGGATCGAAACGTGTGGATTCATTTTTAAATGTTATATCCTATTAATTAAAACAAAAAAGAAAAATGTCGGAAATAAATAAATAATTTATTTTTAATAAATTTGTCCATTTGAAAAATGCGTAGTGCGTTACGTACTCGGTTACTTTCCATCTAAAACATAAAATAAATAAATTTTTTTTTGGCGTAGATCAGTGCGTAAATGGTGGTGGAATAGTTTGATAAATGATTCGTTAAATCTACGAGGCTTTCTTTGACACTGATTTTATTTTTTTTTTAAATTTTTAAATTTTTTTTTCCCTTTCGGTGTCTTTTTACAAAAAAAAAAAAAAAAAAACTTTCATCTGGCTCTTTAAAATAAAAAAAAAAAAAAAATTAAATTTTTATAATATATATTACGATTTCGGTTGTGTGTGTGTGTGTGTGTGCGTGTGCGTGTGTGGATTAGAGTTAGTCGCTTTCTCTCAGAACACACGAGCCAGAGCCACGGATTTAAATTTTTAATCGTCTCTTCCTTCCAATTTCGATTTTTTTTAAATAAACTGTTATTCGAATATCATTATAATGAGGGAAAAACATTAAGAGAGGTTTAGGTTCGACCTTGAAATTTATTGTTCGTCAATAATCGTATGTGATCATCATAAATATTGTTACAAGTCAAATTTTACAAGCTTTGACCCGAAATAAATGTATTCAAAAAAATGTTAAAAACAAAAAAAAAAGGTTTAAACGAATACGTAATTAACGATTTCACCTTGCTAACTTATAACTTGTTAAAACGTTATTATTATCATTATTATTATTAAAGTTAATGTTATCAAAGTCGCATTATTATTATTATTATTTTTATTTTTTGATTTTATTCGAAATTTAAAATGTGTGTGTGTGAGTGTTTACGCGTACGTATTTTGCTCTAATTTGTAGAAAATTTTAAACAAATCAATAAGAAAATTTATTTTTTTTTTTAAATAATAATAATAATAATGGAATTAATTAAGCGGTGGTTGCGGTGTATGGAGTATATATTTGGCGTCAGATAAAAAATTTCAAGAAAAGAAAATTTTCTAAAAGTTAATTAATTAATTAATTTACATGCGAGGGATTATTATAATATAAAATTAATTTTCGGAAAATGTTCAGAAAATGGGGGGAAAAAATTCGAGACGAAGTAATAATAATAATTTTTCTGTTTTTTTTTTTTTTAATGTTGCGACAGATTTAAATTTTCCGCGATTGAAAATTTTACGCGTGGGATTTTCTGGTGAATTAACGGTTTAAAAAAATGGGGGGGGGAATCAGTCATTCAACCGCCATTGTTTTCGACTTTTATTATCATTATTGTTTTTTTTTTTTAAATACACGATACGTGGTGTTTTTCTTTTTTCCCATCTATTTTTATCTCTCTCTCTTTCTCTCTCTCTCTCTCACTGTCTCATCATCATCCTAATAGCATGACGGAAAATTCAGTCGGCAACGTTAACGACGATAAGTTAATTAGTTTTTAAAAATTATTAATAATTCAGGCTCGCGTTTTTTTTCGTTTTTGTTTCGTGCCACGTAAAATTTCATTGGGAGATATCGTATAAAATAATAGGAAACCTTTTCTTTGACCTTTTTTCCTTCCCCCCCCCGTCACCCAGACCTCCCCAGCCCTTACCATTCGTAATTTTTTTTTTGTAATATCGTATCCACGATTCTAAAAATATTTTCGTAAGATCGTACGTGACCTTAATTGAAAAAAATGTCATTTGTTTTTTATTGCAATTTTATTTATATTATTATTATTATTATTTTCGCCGCAGTTCGACCTCCCCACTCTCTCTACCCCCCCCCCTGAGAGAAAAAAAATTGTGTAATTAGTTGCGTTCGGGGAATTTTTGTTTTTCGTGTGGTTTTTTTTTTTTTTGATGGGGTAAAAAAAAGGAAAAAAAAAAAAAGTTTCAATAACGAAAATGTCTTTTGTTAAATTTTGAATGTGTTTTTTTTGCTGTTGTTGGTTGTTGGTGCTGTTGCTGTTCCAGCTCCTGCTGCTGCGGCTGTTTTCTATAGAGTTACGTATTAAATATTTTAATAAAATTTTGTATTCACCGCTGAGTAAATGTGAACGCGAAATGAAATATAAATTAAAATTTTCCCTTTTGTTTCAAGGCTCATTTAAAAAAAAAAAAAAAAAAAAAAAAAAATTTGAGGTGAAACCTTTTGTCCTAAAGGATTTTCGTAAACTGAAATTCG